GATACGTTACACCCTCTTGGGGACGCCCACTAGGAGTCAGAATAAAACATTAAATGTAAACATAGGTTGATAATTGTATAAAATTAAAGGTATTTACTAGTAGAATACAATGCCACAAATGTGAACTTAAACGGATAATCGAGTCAAAAATGACAAGTCGTTCAAATATTTCCCAAATCTGCCATTTCTAATGTTTGAACGGTTGCCATTTTTCACTCGTATTTTGTTTTGGCTCAAATTTCCGGCATTGTATCATACTAATAAATACATGTAATGTGCATATGCTTACGTTTATGATTTTCTTCCGACTTGCGCTGCCCCTGAGAAAGAAATGCAATGTATCTTTTAACAGCTGTCATTTTTTACTGGTAGTCCGTTTGAGTTCGGGTTCGTGGCATTGTATTTGACTAACAAAGACCTTTAATTTGATGTACAAATCAACCTATGCTTACGTTTAAGATATTCTTCTGACTCCTAGCAGGCCGTCTCACTGAGGAGGTAACGTACCACGGAATAATGTGTTAAAATTATTGTAATACACTGAAAATGTGTACAAAGCCTAGAAGCTCCATATTTATTATGTTTTTAAATATTTAACTGTTCCAGGATTTTTCACCCATATAGCCTTATTTGTTTGCTTGAGGTAATTCGAATAGTTAGGTTACGTTCGAAGGATAAATGAACATTTCCGAACGTTTCTATGGTAATTTGAACTTGTATTTGAGGAATTAGTAAGATTTGGAGAACGATTTTAGGTAATCCAGAGTTTCATTGCTATCCCATTTCCGCAAATGCTGGCTGTGTTATTCCAGATGGTACACATTGCAGATACACCCAACACAAGTATTATATGACGCTTACTTACAGTAATATATTATCCTTCTAGTTCAGCAATTAAAACTACATTAATGTTTAAAAACAAAAAAAGTTATTATTTCGTATTTATCTATTTCTAGGCATGTGATAATATTTATAACTCCATTGGTTTAACTTTTTATCTTCATCATATTTAAGTGACAGCAACGTAAGTTTTGAAGTATAATCTATTGATCTCTTTAGATTACCAAATAATATCATATTCTACGCTGATGGTTATAGCATCTATTTAAGTTTAGAAAATAATACAAATTTAGTGCAAAAGAGCTAATTTTCTTATTTTAATTTTCCACAAGCGGTTTTATTTTCTTTCTGCATCGATCCACTTTGCCATTTGCCACAGTCCTGAAGCTCCTAAAACAGCAACCTAATCACGCAAAATAGTAAGTACAGTACAGATTAACCGTGCGAGGTCGTGAACACGTGGAGCCAAGTTGGCAACACTGGCTGTAAATAGATCAGCTGTTGCATTGTTGATTGTTGCCGGACGTTTTAAATACTGTACAACGACGATGTTCAGTATTTTATACTAATTTTGTAACTGTTTGGGGTTTGGTGAAATGGATGCAATAATGATTATTATGAAAGTAAAAGCGTTTTAAGTAGAACATGATAGGAGTTGATAGTGTAAAGATATGGTTAAGTGTGTTAGACGTGTTTTTACCAATAATAAATTTATTTTTTAAGGACCATGATTTTTAAGAATGAATTATACATACTCAAAACAAATTGAACTTAGAGGATAAATATCTTAGTATGCTATATAATGATTTAATTCATTCGTGTTTTTGATTGATGAAATTTAACCTATTCTGAAAAATAAAACTATCAAAGGTAAAGTATGAGAAACGCCGAGAAAGTTTGAAAATAAATTATTGAATTTCCATGCGAGGCGTGCGATTTTACATCAACTTTTCCATCTCGCCTCATATTCCTGGGTTTATATATTGTCCATTTCCAGGCTTGTTTTGATTTTACCTGCCGGTATTTTTATTTCAACTTTTCTAATTTTTTGCATGCTATTGTTCAATAAGATTAACTAGTAAAACGATCACACTACTTGTAAAATTGGTTTTTTACTGCGGTCTTAACTTTTACATTAATTGAAAATAAACTTTAATTTTGTATACATATTTTACTCCACAAATTTCAAAGCATGTAAGGAATTTTGATAAAACCTCCCAAAATATTACCGAATGTTATAATTTAAAATATTTTCCTTCGTTTAAACGTTTAAAAAAGAAAGTTGTCTTCCACGTTTTAATGGCATTGTTAATTTAGAGTTTGGCATTCGAAGCATCTAGTAACGATCGTTAAAAACACTATAGTGAATGAAAGGATTAGAGCCAGACACTTTTCAAAACCTATTATTACCATGTTTGGAAATTTCTATCACGAGTACCTAATACCTACCTACCTAGTACGATACCTAATTTCATCCATTCATTAACTGAAACACATACAATCATATTTTAAAAATATTTTGGATTTTATAGCATATTTTTATTACACAGTAGTTTTCCGTGTAGGATTTTTTTATTTGTGTTAATTCAGTCAGCCTCTTAACTTCATCGATCGTACGCAGATGTTTCGAGTTAGTTGTGCAAAATCGTCAGTGAGGTGTTGCATCTGAATCCCCAGTATGAATCAACTGTTGGTAACGTTAGTTACTGTTTGTTGGTTTACAGCTACATCAATCTAAAAGTAATTTAATTTAAAATTGAGATAGTTTCAACATTCAAATCTTACTCTCTTTTGGTGTAAATATCTTTTTATGCGACAGAATATTATTGGTACAGAATAATTTCATAAAAAAAATTAGTTAATATTGTATTACCAAATTAGAACTAAACATCAATATAGAGAGCATGGTTTGGTTGTATTATGTGGTCAATCTCTCTCATAAAACGTAATGGATATGTTTAGTGGTTACAGTTACAAATTGGGATTGTGTTCGGGGCTTCTCATATCGTTGTGGTACCACAAACGAAGCAGCTCTAAGGGACTTTTTCTCTTTGGTAAAAAAAACTTTTATTGATGAACGTTTTATCGAAAAATGTTTACTGCGAAGAGTCTTTGACGAACCCAATTAAAATTACTCGGATAGAGTTGTAAGTTTCGCTGTTCATTTTCAATTAGTTTACACGTTTCCTTTGTACAAAATGTATTTCATATTAGTATAGCACATATAAAGGGGAGCGAGCTGGTATAGTGGAGAGCGTGGGGCTTCTGGTTGAAATCCCAAGAATTGCCAATAGATCTATCGATGTGCAGCCCTCTAGTGCTAGCCTGAAATAATGGGTAAAACAGTCCCGGGCTTGAGCCCATCGTCCTATGACGTAAAGGTGAGACATAGAAAAAGTCGAAAGTATATAAAAACTATTATTTAAATGATTTTTTAATAAGATGTATTATGACCTACTTTAACTGGAAATAAATATTTGTATGCAAATTATATTTTACAAGTTTAATTATTTAAATTATTTTTTATCATTGGACTTAAATTAGTATTTCAGTTACTAACACCAAAAGTTAAGGTAAAAAAGGCACAACAGAATGTGTCTAGACTTTTCACTCTGCTTCTTTACACTCTTCATAATAATTCACTGCGGTTTATATAATTTGCGGTTTGAATAATGGTCTGCCAAAAGTAAAACTGGTTCAACAATATGGTGGAGTGTGCTTTATTCATGTGAAATATATATAATGGTTTGAGTAAGTAAATCTAGAAAAGTGTATTTATTTGTTATAACTATAACATTAAACGCAACGTATTATTTACCAAATTAAACAGCTTAAACTCAATTGTAATTCACCAAATAGTTTGATTTTTTTCATCATCTGACTGTCGAACATTTGTGCCATTTTATGGTTTTTTAGAGTAAAAAAAGTAAAGGAAAATTATTTTGCCAATGACCCAGCCCCCTAGACCTTATTCTATTAGTCGCTTCGGATATTCTAGCGTGCCTTGCAAACAATAGTTGGTTTACACATTTAATTCAGGTTTCGTTGATATTGCAAGATTTTTACGAAAATTATCGTGCAAATTACATCATTTGATGTGTGTGTTAGCTTTGAAAGACTCTTAAACAATTTTGCAAGGCCCCATGCTTATGCTTTACCATTTGTGACCAGAAACAGTAGCTACTTACAAAGAAAATTCTCTAAAACATCAAATCTAAAATGTTTACTTAACCCCCCACCCTCACCAAAAAATAGTTAATCAATACCACTCCGATTACTTTGCCTTACATACGAACTATTATAAACTATAATGGGGTAATCATACTAAGTAATCGTAAAAGTGTTATATACAAAAAATACTATTTCAAATACACAATTTTTGTGCATAATAAATATAGCAGCTACCAATTATAATATATAACGTTTCGAGGCTTATCTACCACCAAGTAGGGTATGGAGATGGCGATATTTGTAGACCGCTGTTTGACTAAGTTAAGCGTTGGCAGTTGATCGGTATTGAAATAGTTCACTATTAGATTCAGCGTAGCTATAAAATACAGGTAACAAAGTCAATCTATTTGGCAAAACTGTATATACATATAAAGTTTTTTTGTAATTCTGTTCCATAATATAGATTATAAATTTGACAATCTGCTTTAGTTTTCTAGGTAAATAAAATTTGTTTTGGACTTTACAATCAACGAAGTTCAGACATTTCAGTTCAGATTAAAGTATATGTTAGTTTTTATCTTTCAATTCAATTCAACGACCTTGCTAATTTAATTAACCTCAAGCGTTAATGTAGTATGACAACTGTTTTATCTTATGATTATTACAATACACGGAATAATTAATTTGGTAAATGATGAGTTTTTTTTTATTTACAGGAAGAATATTAACTCGGGTTTCCACTTCAACCAGCTGATCCTCTCACAGTAGGTTGTAAGTCCCTGCCTTGTCAACTTGGGCAGGAAATCCTCTAAACCTGATAAGTCTCGTCCATGTTCTCATCCTATCATATGAGGAATACATTTTGTATCTCATCCGTTTATATTTTCTAGAAATTTTAAATGCTTTAGCATTGTAACTAGGCTTGTTCACATTGGTTCCAATTGCATTAATAATTAATTGTAGAAATGTATATAAGGCTATATCAAAAACATAATTGCATATCATCATTGTATATCAATAAAGTTCTTTCGCCAGCAAAATATTTGATTGTTGGACGTTTCGACGTTTATAAATTAAATCCATTTTTATTCAGTATACATACTATTTCTGAATTGTTATTATGGTCCTATGACATTATACATTTGGTTACGAAAGGATTAGCTTATTGCCTGTAAATCCTTTCCCGAAGTTAACATCATCATGCCACAATATTACAACATCAATATGTAGCAGCAATTGTTTTACATGTCATACAATAACTATTTTTATTCATTTTTAATTGTTCTATTGCAGTACATGTTTATTTGGCAATAGTGTATTCCAAGCAAGGGTGTTACGTTTTACTTAAAGCCTTTCCAAAATCACTTTAATTGTTGTCTCTTTGGTGTCTGGAGATCTTCATGATAGACTCGTAGATTCCAGACATGCTGAAACCAGAAAATAGTAAGTTTATGCTCTATATATTTTTAAATAAATTGCAAACTGTATCTAACTACTGTACCATAGCAATACGCTGTGAGAGCCTTGACTTGGAAATTTTGCAACTTTATTGAAATGCCTTCTAGACATAAGAGGGAGAAACATGAGGAATTGCGTATTTTATTTGTGTTCAAAACTGGGTTCTTAGGCAAAAGAAAAACAATACCCTTTTTATTTTTAAATAATACGCGGTTTACTGTGTGACAGTAACTAGGACAATAGAATTACTAAGTACAATTAATTAAATTGTTGAATTGAGATATATACCATAATGAGCAATTTCCTTACCTCTATTAGGCTACAATTTTCGATCACTGAATATTTGAAAGGGAACTGTAGATATAAATTAAACGCAAGGGGACGAATCCCTAAAGGACCTTTTGAGTTACCATTTGCCCCTCTGCCAAAAGGGATGTAGCAAAGAAAACCCTTGCTGTATTAATTAAAAGTATATAGATATAGTATGGATAATGTAATGACCATGATGACAAAATAACGACTTCTGGTTGAAGGTCAAAAAATATAATGGTGTTAATTATCAAACGTTTTTCATCAAAAAACAACATGAATCATCAATTTAACCATTATTTGATGAATTATACCAGATAATGCAACAAACATACAATGTAATTTGATAATGGATTATTTGCAGTCGCTCGTCATACCTCTCAGCTAGTTATCATAATAATCTAGTTCTGTCTGGTTAGTGGTAATAATATAAAATCTAATTGTAAAAACAACTAATGTGTTCCCAATTTCAGAGAGTTTGTCCATCACTTTTAAATTTACAAAAATAAGGCTATGTGTGAATAAGTCCGTAATTATATCGTATACGTATTTTCGAATTCGATACCAAAAACTACGTATTATACTTCCCTAAAAGTGTGGAACATTGCCAGAATACGATTCAAATTTATGATTTATCGATTTTCATTGGGAATATTTATAAAAATAATGTATTGCTTAGACGAATTATCTTATCAAATAGATATAAATATGTTTAATATGTTAAATGTGTTATAAATATGCTTAAGGTTTGCGCATTATTGAATTACGAATTGACCACTCAATTTGATAAGTCAAACAAGATGCTAATTAAATAAGACGTCGAGGAACAACTGTAAATGCATATGCCAATTAATATCAGCTGGCTACTTCAAACCTTATTTAAACGAATGATAGAGATATCGATCTGAGGTGTGTGTGTGTACACACAATGGGAAAATCTTTAAAAAAATAACTAAGTTAGAGAACTCCTTTTTTGTATATTTTTAAGTCTCAAATTAAATACGCATCATTCAACAAAATAGATACAAGAAATACAGGGTGTTTTTAAAAGAATGCCGGGATTTTAAATGGTTATTGCTTGGATACTATTCAAGGTAACTAAATGTTTTATACGTCAAATTGAAGCTAAAGTAACTAAGTTTTGTTTCCCGTGTGGCAAGGAAGGAAACTTATACCTTTGGCAAGTGTAAAACAGGTGCGGGGTGCTAGGCAGCTATTGTGACTCATACGCCTGACGCCAGTCGCCAGTACGACGTTTACGGCGCAACAGAAGGAACGGACTGTAGTTTGCAGAGTTTGTATCTATTGCTAAATTAAACTAAATTTAAATCTATTTGATGATAAAGAAACTTGAAGCTGGTTTAATGAGTTTTGTGGCACCGAAGTGTTTTGATTTGAAAAGACACCGGTTTTTACCTGGCCGGCTAAAACAAGCGACAAACATAGTCGAAGTGACATAGTCGAAGAAATCCGACAATTCTCCATCAGAAGCCCAAAAGAATCGATTGCCCGACCAAGTCTTCAGTTTAACAAACCTAAATTGGTTATGATGTAATCTATAAAAGATAGATATTTTGTGCCGAAAAAGATTCAGTTAAGACATGAGATCGCCCTAAGCGTAAGGATTTTGCCAGTTTTACGCTCATATAAGATTGATGAAAATCTGAATTTTATAAAATCATTCCGAATTGTATGAATGAATGAGGAAAAACCTTTATTCTCTTCCCTTCAATTTGACGTTCAAATCGTTTAATTATCTTGAATAGTCCCCGAGCAACGACCGTTTGAAATCCCGGCATTCTTTTAAAAACACCCTGTACAATCGTCAGGCTTAAGAGTTATATTCCCCCACATTGACTATAAGCTCGTGCTCGGGGAATATACTCGTACTATACTCATCCTACTATTATTTTTCCACTTAAAAGACTTCAGATTATCAAATTTTGTTAATAAGGTTGTAGTTTCTTGTTGTTAGTATATTAAACTATGTAAATACATTCCATTTGCAGGTAAAATACTTTTAGACCTACATTTTGATAAGTAAATTGTTCAACTTACCTCAGAGAAAGAGAGCATCAGAGAGGGTTTTGAATAGTTACTGTGGTTTGTAGAGTTTATTGTATAGATTGAGAAGGTGTATTGATAATCATCGTTCCCTAGCCACACTGAGCTTTTCTCCTCATGAGGTATCCAGAATACTCGGTCCTGAAAACCTCCCAGACCGTAGATCACCTGAAAATTAGTCACATGAGCTATGTATCAACTGATATAAGTAAATGTAAGCAGCATAATTGATAGCTAATTTATGTTGTTATCTCCATGCGAGGTTATCTACATACGAAGTATTTGGTGTAGTTCCTCACTAAAATGTGAGGAAAATAGCAACACTATTATTTAGAAATAAGAGTATGTATTGCATAAAGAAAATTTGAAAGCTAATTACAGTTATCGTCAATATAAATATATAGTCCGGAAGAAACTACTATTCAATATCGTATTTCCTGAAGTGTTTAAAATTTATAACATTTCTTTAAGACTACTTTCTTTGGAATAGCTACCACACAGAGAAGGAAGGTACCTTCTATAAAGAAATACTTCATTCATTCATTCATTCACCTAGGAAACTTGTTTATGAGACTACCGTACACTTTCAGTTCTAGTATGTTGTGCCTGAAATGCAATTGTACTGAGCAAGGAAGTGCCCGAGCGGTGTGCACTGTACGGAAACCCCCATAACGCAGGGGGCACAGGTTCTTCCTCCAGTGGAAGCGTTGTACTTCATGAAAACGGGGGTAGGCATTGTTAGACTTTGCCCTAGACACCAGCGATAGGTGCTAGACATATAAGTGTTCCATTGAATGTTTCCTCTGTACCTTACTTCTCTATAGCTACAATAGACATAATATATTACACTGGGAGTGTCAGTGAAGGTGTGTAAGTTAGAGCCGTCATATCTACAGGAGACCAGCCTCCATGACTCCTGGGCACCGCCAGCTACGAGGAGATACAACCTCTGAACAGACGGGTCCATAGCGATATTCCTGACACTTCCTAGGCTGGAAAACACGTCCTTTCGGACCCCCTTTCCCTCCAGGTCACTCGTGTGTATCTCGTTGTTAGTCATCCAGAATAACTTCCTGAAAAAACGGTATTATTTTCAACTTTAATTTTTTTGTTTTTCGCTGGTGCAATGTATTTAGAATCTTTTTGTGACCTCTAAGACTACAATTAAATTGAATTGATGTCAATCCGTAGAATATTAAAATTTTGATTCAGTGACTCACTCCACGTAAGGGTCCACTAGAAGCTTGTTGAGGTTCTGCTCTATATACAACCCTCTGTAGAGGATTATGGGACGGGAACCATCCAACTGACTGCAGTGGAGAATCAGCACCGCCCCTGACAGCCAATACAGGGTCTGATGTACCCAGTCTACTGCTAGGGTTGTTAGGAGGTACTCATCCTGAGGGTCCACCAAGGGAGTGAGGTTCAGAGTGGACGGTCCTGTCAGAGACGTTCTGAAAATTCAAACATACAAACTACCTTTTGTATCAAAACTAAGTCATGGCACAAGTTTAAGGAAAACCTCTTATTAGGGTAAACATCTGCGTAACAAATTAATACGTATTTGAAATGTTTTTCACTGTGCAACAATTAAAATTAAATTAATAAAAAGATATATTCTACATAGAAACAATTTTTTCATTTAATATTTAAGAATACACATTATGTTAAGCTCGAATGAACATCACTTCGACTGTAAAGGCTAGAAGGCAAATTTACTATATTAAGCAGTGACAAAGAAAAGAAAGCTGAGAGGGTATTAAAATGAAGCTAAACAGATATTATATTTTTAACTCTAGGGACTAATAATCCCTTTGTATAGATAAACTGGTTTAAATTAGTAATTACGATTCTTCTTCGCTTTTTAGCGAATTTCCCTATAGGGAAGTAGCTATTACCGTAGGTGGCACGGTAAGACCTAGACCCGAGACCGATTTACTTTTTCATTTTGATGTCCCCAGAGGCCAAAAACACCATCCGTTCAAATTTTTATATATGTATATATATATATATATATATATATATATAGACTTATATATATATATATATATATATATATATATACGTCCGTGAACGCGATAACTTGAGTAATTTTTGTCCGATTTTGATGAAATTTGGCCTTAAGGTGTAAAGCGGGATAAACTTGAATGAGTTCGCGAACCAGCACGATCGGACCATGGGAACGGGGCTTTACGGGGGGTTTTATGGGGTAAAAATTGGTTTTTCTCACATTTGACCCTTAAAACACAAAATTTTCCGATTTCTCTTTAGAACTTTTTAAAGAGCTTAAAAAAACAAATAATTTAGTATATAAAAGTATTTTTGTTCGATTATTAGTAACGGAGAAAATTAAAAAAATTGTAAATTTAAAATTCCCATATTATTCTTATGGAGAATATTGTCAAATGTTGTAGTTTGCTTGTTTAGGGAAATATTTTGATCAAACTTGGCAAATTTATTTATTTTGTACTAAGCTATCAATATTTTACTCAAAAACACACTTTATTAGTTTCCTTGTAGCAGCAAACCTAGGTACTCGTTAAACCTAATTTTATTAAAATATATTTAACTGAAAATCAATTCAGACAAATGGAAATTCGCTTAGTCGGCAGGTTTGCTGCAGCGGGGGTATTCTCATTTTCTAGTGCGTTTTGGTAACGTTGTTTTTTACACTTTTAATTAAAACAATTTGTTGATGGAGGTAAATTCTTTTGTAGACTTTTTACTAAATTCCATTTACATTAAAGAAATATATCTTCCCGATTCTATGTCTCCGACTCTACAAACTTCTCATAGCAAAATTAAAATATTTTATGAAAGGATCCAAAGTTTGGCTTAAAATCAACTTTTTGTTCTCAATCCAAGTGTACTAAGAAAATAAATAATAATTTAATCACTTATTCCGTCTTCCGTATTCCGTAATTTAAATGAGTCGTAAATATAGATTTTTGTTCTTGTTTGTTTTTGTTGTTTATTAACCAAAGTTTTTACTATACATTCAACAAATTCATCTCCATAGTTGACATTAAATGCTGGATACACTGTGTCAACACATGCCCTTTTTGAAGTGTGTCCAGCATTGGGGGTCAACGGATATGAATTTGTCAAAATTAATTAATTTATGTTGCCTAAATAAATCCTACAAATAACCAAACCACCAACAATGGGTTGAAGGAAAACCGCTTACATTTTTCCTATCATCCATTATAAAATAAAATATAGTTATTTAACTTAAGACCTTGGCTGAAATATGGATTAGAATTCCCATTTTCCTTAGCTCACGTCTTTATTTACTATATTAGGTTATCTTATAAAAATTCATATTAAAATTATTAACATACCTCAGTATTTGTCTATAGGTAAGTAAATACAGTTCTTCCCTAGTGTAGTGATAGTCAAGGTCCTTGACCATGTCCTTGAGCAAGGCGAGTTGTTTGTGGCCTCCAGCGGGTCCATGGAGGCTGACCCCGTCGTGAGTGACCACCAAGAACTCTTGGCAACATGACTCTATAATAAATAACATAAAGTTCATGTTGCTATTATTTTTGTGTACGTTTATCTATTCAATTGGGCACGTTATAAAAGTACAAAAAAATTGTTTAAAGAAAAATGTTATTCAATTTAACCGCAATTTATGACCAAATGGTTTCATATATGAAATTACCTAGCGATTCTTTCATTTTATTTTACTTCTTGACCAAATCAGTTCATTTTTTAAGAATTATATATTTTTATGCAACAAAATATGATAAAACGAGTTTGAAGTACATTGTTAATGATGGTGAGTTAATGTTGTTCAAAGGTTTATTGCGGACATTTTCCATCACGAATGTAAAAAAAGAAGGGTAAAATTTTTTTTGTAATTTTTATTGCATTCGTTATGGAAAATGTCCGCAATAAACCTTTGAACAACATAAAACGAGTGTTTCAATTTTTAAATGCATATTTACAATCGGACAATGTATCGGATTCTGTAATAAATAACATGGATTTCAAAACTCGCAATTATGTTTTTGCAAAAATAAATTTTTCTGTTCCATTGAGGATTTTATGAAAGTATGTATGGTTTTTTAATAATGATTTGAATCAAAATTTGTGACCAAATTGTCTCACCGGTAAAAAGTGTATGGCGAATATATAATTTTAGGTATTTTATTGAACAAATTAACTTATTTTGGTTGGAGAATTTTGAATAGTGATATGGAATCTAATTCAATAACACTTTTATCGTTTCTAAACATTGGGTTTTAATAAGCTAATGTACCTAATTCAGTGTTGTACGGATTTAGAAATATATTTTTTTAAATTAATAAATGTATCAATAAGTATAGCTCTAAATAAATTATTCGTTGTCTTTTTCTTTTAAAGTCAGTATTTTTCTAATGAGTTTTACGAATAAAATATAACAACCTTACGAGATACCCTGGAAAAGTTTAAAGACGAAAACGTAAATAAGAAACATAATTCAATACACTGCTTCTATTCTTACGCGTTTGAAACTGAGACACATAATTTATAACACTATCCAAGTATAAATCTTATCTGATAAAGAGACATACGGAAATTACATTATGTCGCACTACAACGCCCCCAAAGCTATATTTGGGCTGAATAAAGCTTGTACAGTATGAACTAAATAAAATAAAAATGCTTGGTTTTAGTTCAAATCAATACACTATAGTAAATTCATCCTTAGTACACATATTTATCATGATGTTATAATACTCGTAGTTGATTATCATAAGACAAAATATAACACAGGTTAGAAATGAGTTAGAAATGAGTGTCTACTTAGCAAAAATGTTTTAGTTATCAAGCATCCTGAGTTAATTGTAACAGTTACGTGTAATGCATTCTAAAGTTAATTATTAAAATATTCTGCGCAAAGTTTTCTCTTACAGAGAACATGTTTTAATGAGAAAACTTCGCACATCGTTGATCAAAGATAGAGTGCTTCAAAGGATTGTTATATTCTCGTGGGGGAAATTGGTTCTTTCCTGCAAGGAAGCTAGAATGTCATATTTTCTGCTGTTACTTTAACTTTGTGACTGTTAAAACTCATGATAATAGTATTTTCTCTTTATTTTAACTTAAAAGATAATTAATTAATATATTTTATTTCATTTACTTGAGGGCGCTTAAATTATGGCTACTTAGCCGATTTGTATATTTTTTTATGTACGTTTTCTGTTTCCTTAATCAATATAATAAAATTTTTTTTTTGTGGAATAATAGTAATAGATATTTGAAAGTTAATTTTAGTATTCAAATTTGTAATGTAAAAGTTTAGTTTGTTATAATTTAAAACGGTTGTAGAATTAGAATGGAAATGCTATCATAGGTTTTAGAAACTTCTAACGATTTACAATAAGTCTTAGAAAATTGCCTTTCTTATTTTTAGTTTAAGAGTGGTTTGTGTCTAATGTTTGGTTTATTATCTAAATCTTTAGGACTGTTGTCAATTTATTATCACACTTTTTTCCTAATTTCCTTACGTTTATGAGATTTTTGGAGTGATAAAAGAAGCAAGTTAAGAATCTGATGCTGTTAAAAATACCCTTGGCGAAGCAAACCTGTATTTGCTGTTGTATTTGAAAAATACAGAAATATATACGTCTAATAAAACTTTCAATAATATATTTACACTTATACTGTTGACTTACAAGACGGTAAATACATGTAAATGTTGGTAAGTGGTGATCGATTTCGATTGGACACTCCAATCATCATCAGACCCAATAGGCGAATGACAGTACAGTATTAGTGTAAATATATTATTGCAAGTGCTATTAGACGTATATATTTCTGTATTTTTCAGGTAATTTAATAACCCGTACAGTGCAATCAAGAAGTTATTCTGTTGTATTTGTATTTGTTATTGTTTGCTGCTGTAGACTAAGCAAATTCCCAAATGTCTGATTGGATTTATAATTAAATCTTTTTTATTAACATTAGTTTAAACAAGCACCTAGGTTTTCAGGCACGGGAAGGGTTATAAAGTGTGTTTGGTAAAATCTTTATTTAGTTAAAAAAGCTAAATAAATAAATGTGCTAAGTTTGATCAAAATAAAAAACCTAATTTTTACCTCTTACAACCCCGTTCCGTTCATGCTGGTTGGTGAACTCATCAAGTTTATTCCACTCTACATCTTCAATCCAAACTTCATCAAAATCAGACAAAGGTTACACAAGGGTTATCACGTTCACGTATATTTGAACTAATAGTCTTTTTGGCCTCTAGGGACACCAAAATGAAAATATATCGGCCTCGGCTCTAGGTTAGCTGC